ATTCTCAAATTTCTCATATTTATCCATTATCCTCATATTTTGTTATATGAGAACAGGCGGGTATAGTTTTTGAGCTCTTATACAAAAATAATGTAGTGTTTGGAATCATAAAAGAACACAAATAAGCTTTCATATCTATAAATTCTCAAGCATTTTCATGAATGATAAAATATTAATAATAATAAATCTTAAGGATTGCAATTATTTCTAGATTGTATATATCTCTAATTGGTTCTTTCAGACTTTGGTTTATATGTAATTTATTTTCTTCACAAAATACATTTATTCTCTAAATATCCATACAGAATAAGAAATTCAATATTCTTTCATGAAAATGATTTCCTGATTGTCTTTCAGTTAAAATTTTTGTTTCAATGAGATATTAAATATCTTTAAACTACTTAAGATTTTTTAAAATTGGGAATGGTTCCTTTTTAAAGCACATTTTGATACCTTTTATGGACACAGTGTTTTGAGTTGAAGAGTAAACTAATAGCATAGATACAATATAACATAGTGGTTAAGAATAGCAGCTTGGGTAGGGATGGATAAATGGATAAAGAAAATGTGGTATATATATATATATATATATATATATATATATATATGCAATAGGTATTACTCAGCAATCAAAAAGAATGAAATCTTGCCATTTGCAACTACGTGGAGGAACTGGAGAGTGTATATGCTAAGTGAAAATTAGTCAGAAGACAAATATCCTTATGAATTCACTTCACTCTGTATGAGGACTTTAGAGACAAAACAGATGAACATAGGGAGGAGAGAAACAAAATAATATAAAAAAGCAGGAGGGACAAAAACAAAAGACTCATAAATATGGAGAACAAACTGAGGTTACTGGAGGGGGTTGTGGGAGGGGGATGGTCTAAATGGGTAAGGGCACTAAGGAATCTACCTGAAATCATTGCTTCACTATATACTAACTAATTTGGATGTAAATTTTAAAAAATAAAAAATAAAAAATAAAGTTAAATTATAAAAAAAAATGTAGCTTGGGAGTCAGTCATAGCTGGGTGTGAACCCCAGGTCTTTCTACGACCTAATCTTACAATCTTGAGCAGGCCACTTAATGTTTCTTAACCTCATTCTTCACCTATAAATGAGAATAATAATATCTTGTTCATGGCGTTATTATGACAACTTTATAAGAAAATATATGAAAAGCACTTAACACAGGGGGTCTGACAGAGTGATTGCTCAATAAAAAACTTATAATGTTAATCATCATCATTATCAGAATTGAAGAATCTCCAAAGGGAAGTAGCAAAAAAAAAAAAAAAAAAAAAAGCTAGGGTAAGCATTATTATTACCAAAGGTTAACATTCAATTTCACAAGGGAGTTAGCTATTATGTTAAGACTTCAACAATAAAATACACTAAAGGAGACAGGTTAAGATGGCTTGCTGCATTCCTTGTGCTGAAGGCCAGGTGTTTATACATATATATCTCAAACCTGACGACAACCTCAGAAAGCAGGTAGGTATGCCCATTTTATAGATGAGGGAATTGAAGCTCAGAATGTGGCCCAAATCATGCAACTGTTAAACTGCAGAATCACTACTCGACTCTAATTTGTTTGACTCCACAGCCCTGTTTCAACTTAACTTCCAAATTCGAGTCAACTTTGGGAACTTTTCAAACTGGACCACGCAACCTTATTCAGACCAGATCTGAATCTGAAGCATGAGTTTATAGGCAGCTTACACTTTATCAACCCTCAGCTTTTATTTTCTCTTTCATCTACAATCTAACTCATCTAAAGGAACCCAAGAATTCAGAGGCCTAGTAAATATACCTGCTGCCTGCACATAGCTTCACTCTGCAGGCTCTTCTCTGCCTAGAGTTGGAACATTTCACTACCCTGGAAAGTGCCCAGGACAACATTTTAAACTATTTCTTTATAAACAAACAAACAAACAAACAAAAAAAAAACAAAACAAAACACATATAGGTCTTGTTGATTTTTCCTCAGCAATGAATGGTGAATCTCAGTATCCCCTCTCTGGCTTTCTCAGTGCTTCAATCAGAACTAAATATCTTTCCCCTGACAATTATTAAGACCTGATGTCTTGCTTCTCTCCCATCACCACTACTCCAACACACCTCTCTCTCCTCAAGTCATTTAATTTACATCTTCAAGGGAAATACCTAAAGCATACAGATGATGAGAAAATAGGAGTCTGAGAAGAAACAATCAAATAGGTGGGAAAAAGTAAAGGATATGAGACAACCTAAGGAAAGGCTTTATAGTAGTGGTGGGCAAGTAACCAATTGTGTAATTATGTCAGAGATGTTACATAATTCTATCAATTCTTCCATAGTTTGACCAAACAATGCTTTTTTCACACTACTTCTGTGACAAATGTCCACAGACTTACTAATTTTTTCCACATCCAAATAGAGTTTTAGGAACGTGACATAATGAGGTTAATTACAAAGTAGCACTGGCCAGGAATGCAAAGCGGAAAGTTATGTTACAGTATAACATATGTTACAACTTTGTAACATAAAGCATTTTTATTTTTATGATTTTTTTTTGAAGACAAACAATAAAAAGACAGCATATTGTATGAAACTTGAAGTAACCAAAGGTGAATAAATATAAAAAGGAATACTGGTGTATAGGATTGACTACCTGGTTTAGATATTCTTTCTTTGCCAAATGAGAGGAATCCCAATACAACTTATTAGATGTTAGACAGAATAGGGGGAATGATATTCAAGTAGTCTCTTTAACAGTCACTGCTTTGGCAATGTGTCATACTTTTTTTTTTTAGGACAAAATTTATATTCTGGTTGAAGAAAATGTAAAAAACTAAAAAGAATACTTATTTGTTATCATTTAAGATATTTGATATTATTTCTCAACATTATGATTTCAGACACTGCCATTTAATTTATGCACAAAGGACTACAATGGAAAATGCTTCTACTGTATCTACATGAGGACTGAACACTGCAGTATAAAAGGATATACCACGTTTTCTTGGGAACTTGAGGAAGAAAGCCAACAGTAGCATGCAATGGAATTATTTAACCTTCTCTCTTCTCTATTTCTCTGCTGTGTTAAGTAAATGAATCCCCAAACTAAATGACTATAATGTAATCACTCTTTCAATTATACCTTCAATGCCCATTGATGTGTTTTATGTTCAGCAGAAGAGAATAGAGAATCTGGTTTCATTCCAGGTTCTTAATCTTTCTGATAAGACAGCCTCTTCAGCTGTGAGCACTAGGATTAAGTGTATAGGCCCCTTGTGTCAGCTTTCAAAGGGAGCTCTAGCCTTGTAGGAGATGAGATGACCCATTGTGCATAGCGAATGAAGTGATATAATGAAGGACTCTCTCCAAATGTTTCTGGAATTCCTGTATAGTGCTAGATTACTGTGTATCTGGGAAACAGAGTCCATTCAATGTGACTAGTCATACAGAGTCCTGAGTTTAGAAGGGCTCTGTCACTTGTTTAATGCTCTGATGTCACTATCTTGAAATTCTTAGTAACTTTTTAACAAGAGACTCTACATTTTCATTCTGCATTGGTCTCTGCAGATTATGCAGCTGGTCCTCTTGTGGAGAAGGGCTTTGGAAAGAGACAAGGGATGGTCAGCTTCTTTCTTTGGCCTCTGCAAAGACATGATACCTGGCTGGAATGGTCAGGCTTTGTATGTACTGCTCAAAACAGTACATAACAGGTATCCAGCATCGAGAGGAGACCAATACCCCTCTTCAGGATCCAGTCTCCCTTCTCTACTTACACTTCCTCCTTCCCCTTCTTAGCTGTATGCATGGCTGTCCAGTCAGAGAATATGTTTCCAAACTCTCTTTGTGCCCAGGTAATTGAACTGGACCATTGAGATGTGAATAGACATGTTTACAAGTTCCGTGTTATTGTCTTACAGACAAAGCCAAAAAAAAAAAAAAAAAAAAAAGACTGAACTCTTTCCTTTTCTTTCTCACAGGTTGGAAGGCAGATGCATTGGTGTCCCAGCTTTGACCATTCAGAGGAAGATGACACACTAAGGAAAGGCAGAGCAAACAGTACAAGGAACTTGGGTCCTTTCAAGACCTCCTGAATGACCATTCCTCTGCTAACATGGACTGTTCCTTAGGTCAAGGACTTGAAAGAAGAATAAATATGCTGAGGTCTCTTTGTTATACCAACTTAGCCTCTGTCGTAAGTATGAACAGAATAAGGTCTTGGGAACTAATTCACAATAGTTTTGTATTTATATAGGACAGCTGAATAAAATAGTGTTCTGTTTGAACATTCTACATAGGGAAAATCACTAATTAGCACTTAAATGATATAAAACTATACTGAAGCTAATTTTACCCTCAATGATTTTTAGAACACTTCTGGATCCTGCAGAGCCAGTCATCAATATGAACACTAATTATACTATATATCTATAGATGTTGGGGCCTGAGCAAATCATTTATTTTGTTTTATTTTTAATTTATTTTTTTTAAAGAGAGAATGTACAAGCTGGGGAGAGGGGCAGAGAGAGAAAGAGAGAGAAAGTATCTTAAGCAGACTCCACGCTCAGCAAGGAGCCCAACCAGGGCTTAATCCCATGACCCTGGGATCACGACCTGAGATGAAATCAAGAGTCGAATGTTCAACCAACTGAGCCACCCAGGTACCCTGAGGGCCTCAGTAAATCTTTAACAACTTATGAAAAACTCCTGAAGTTACATCCTCAAAATGAATTCCTGTATGACCCTAGTTTCATTGTAAGTTACCTCCATACTGAAAGAAGACTACAGGAGTTAAAAATGACGTTTGCTTAGAAAATGAATTTAGGTGCTTACATACTTAAAAAAGTAACAGCATATAGAAAATAATTTTACTTCTCCTTTCTTGAAAATTTTCAAGACTAAACTGACTAAAACTGCTAAGATTTAAAATATTATGTTGATAACCTAGCTACAAAACCATCAAGGAATCATATCTTCAAAAGTACAGATTTTATGTTTACCTGCCCCAATGACTCTCTCAATGCGAATTCTTGAGGGATCAATCTCCTTTGCAAATTCATGAACTGCTAGGGATGGGTCTTCATATGTATCTGGATCTATGTAAGTTTTAATTCCTGGGAAGCGTACTGCAAACCAACAACAACAAAAAAAGATTGATTTAGTTTAAAAGTATTTTAGTGATTACACATCTTGTGTATGTTTAAAACAAGGATTGACATATTAAAGTCGTCATTCTTGTTAGTTACTTCAACTCTCTTTTCTTTCTGTCCCACTCCTCCTCACCCCCCAATAAAGAGTTGAGTACTTGGAATCAAAAATTTATTTACCTGTTAATGTAAAATGACCTGGTGGTTTAATAGAGAGTGAGCTGACAGGTTCCAGAAAACATATTTATTATATTTCTGTAAAACGTTTAATCAGCTCACTAATTCACAAACAACCCATACATTTTGTACTTGATCTAGCTCAGGACATGGGGGGAAAGGCATAAGCCTTTCTCCCAAAACCCTTTCTGCCAAAATGAGCAAGCCTGTTGGTGTCCCTCCTGGACACTTTGCACTCAGATGACAAACAGGGATGGCTGGAAAACTTGAATGTGTGGTTATTTTTTTCATTTGCCACTTCTTTCAGTATCTGAAGAAATCACAGACTGTGTGTAGATATTCCTCTGTTTTGGTGGTAGGTTTCTGTGTTCCAACAGATTTCTGGCTCCCGGAGGACAGGAGATCATTTCTTATACATCTTTGTATCTTTCCAAATACCTTAGGTATGGTTTTACAGGTAATAATCACACAGCAAACCTTTATTAAATATGAATTAGTAGGGATTAAAAGATCAATGCAAATTCGTGGCATAGTGAATAGGTGATACTTGGTTTTGTTGCTTTAGATTTTGAAAGCTGCATAATACCCCGAGTTATTTGTTGGCTAGGATTCCTTAGAAACATGCTCTTGCAAGAAAATTTCAAAAGCAAACAAATAAAAGCTAATGAAGTGAGTTTAGAGGAGGTGCTGAAATGTCCATTGTCAGCAGAATTTGCTTCATGAGTTCCTCTACACTTGTTGCCCCCTTTCATTCCTTTTTGCCTACTGTCTTCTGCTACCAGATGAACACCCATGAGAATATTAGTACTTCCCCAAATATCATCAGCAAAGCATTCTAGGTATACTTAGGCCTGACAATGATTCTGAAATACTATGCTTTATGTGACTTCCAAAGTTTAGATTGGAGGAAAAGACAACAGATAATCTTTACCTCTGGTTCATATTGCAGATACTTTTTTACTTAATGGGAGTTGTGGTTTCAGAATGAATACTCTATAAACTCAGATCCAGTGGCTACTATTAGATGATTAGTGGTATCTAATTGGATATGTGGTGTTAACATCACCTTCTTTTTTCTTGTAAACACAATATATGTCGACTATCTGGTTACTTATTTAACTTACCCATGGTTTCTTAAAACTCGGTTTGTTATCTTTCTTTTACTTCCTTGGCTGTCTTAGGTTATTTTCATTGCTTCTTGCTGGGCCCATCTGGTTTAGTTTATGCAAAAACTGCTAGTTGGAAAGCAGATAATAAATACCTCAGGAACATCTTTTTCCTTTGCATTTCAGTACTAAATGCCCTGCAGTGAGTCTTAAGGTTGCTCAGCATATGTCATCTATCCAGGTGTTTGGGTCCAGGTTTCTGCATCTGTTCGCAGCATTTCCAGCTCATCCCATGGCTGACAGTGGCTGTCTTAGCTTTCCCTTCTCTGCCAGTGCAGTGAGCCTCAAACGTATTGTAAGAAAAGAGCAGCCAGGGACACCTTGCTAAAAATGCGTATGTCTTGGCCCTACCATGCACCTTCTGAGTCAGAACTCTGGCTAGTGAACATGGAACATCCTAATACAGAAAGTCCTCAGACCACTGAGAAATCCTGTGAGCCTTAGAAATAGCCCTAAACCGTTCCTCACTTAAATCCTTTCTGCCTCCTTCAGAAAGTGATATAGGTTGAAAAGTCTCTTACTCCTTTTGCTCAATCTGAAGTAAAAAAATGAGTTGAAAGAGTTAAACAGCTTGCCTCACACATTATTTCTACACTGTGGTTAATTAGAGAACATCCCTTTCTGAGATGTTAATTCAGCATCTCACGACAGAGAAACCGTCTTGACAAAGTAGTTTGCCATTTGGAGGTGGAGGTGGAGGTGGGTGTTGGGGAGGAGAGGGTGGCAATTATCAAACCAACTATAGTGGTAATTATAGCTTGCTTGGGAAGAGATTCTACAAATGAATATAACCTTGTAGTCAGCTCAAGGATTTCATACATATTCTAAAAGTTAAAGAGCTGATTTTCTTTTTTAGTGTTAATGAATTGTAAATTGATTTGTTATATGTTTAAATGACAGTCCCTACAAGAAGGAATAAAAGTTCCCTAATATTTCTATGGCTAATGCTCCACTAAATTAAACCAACTTGCATTCAGGAGTCATTGTGAATGGTAAATAACTAGATATAAGCAGTCATCTTGTATTTTTAGCATATTCAGCCTTCGTGTTTTCCAGCAAGCAGAATTAGGGAAAAAGTACTAGCATTTAATGAGAAGCAGGTGCAATTTCCACCAACAAACCTGGAAACCAGATGAAAAGTCTTAATGCTGAAAGGTTGGAAGTACATTTTTTCAGGTTTTCTCAACTCAGTGGATACAAGTTTAAAATGAACTCTTGAGGGCTAGAGCAATGTAAAATAATGAAAGGGTCACTGTACTACTTACAATGCCCATTCTGCTGTAAGTGGTTTCTCCTCTTCTCTTCTGACTTCATTTTAGCTTTGATGTACCATTGGCACCTTTGAAAAGGGTAAGCAGAATCTTAGTTTTAGAATTATGCTGGATGAGAACCAAAACCAACTAAATTACCTATCACTAGTAGGCCAAGTTCTTATCACAAAGGCCATGTTTAAGAATATCTTTATATCACAAGTTTCTTTTTTTTTTTTTGTATAGATCAGAATTAATCCCAGATAAGAATAAAATACTCTCACGTGGATTGATTGGTTTGAATGATAGGAATCTTAGAGAATATTCTATAATCAGCAATAACCATCACATGCTTCCTTATAGAACTTCTAATGGCTGGAGCTGGTAGAAAGCATTAAAAGTCAAAATGAGAAAATGTTTTTGAGTCAGAATCTCAGAAATTTAGACAAATGTTTTCTAGTTTCATTGCTAAAGAGCATGCTTTCTTTTTATTGCAGAATTCTGTAAAGGTATGTTCTGTTCTCTCTTGGGATAATTGTGCTCTGAGAAAGAGTAGATGCTTATCTCGCATGACTTCTGCAACATGAATAAATTCTCCAGCATCCATGTGATTTGACAATTCATCAAACTTCTAATTCCAAATGGTTAAACAGACTACATCTGTGGTATATCATCCAATCTTTCAATGTGATTTTATCTTCAAACCCTAAGGCAAGTTGAGTATTTATTCAGAAATGTCTTACAGTTTTTATAGAATAATTTCCAATGAATACTCTTCTATTATGTGCTTAAAGTATATTATGTGCTTTAAAAAATGAATTTTTTTAATCTTATGTAACTGAAGTAGTCTTCCCCAGTTTGTAGAATATTACTTTCTAATGTCATATAAATTGGAAAACATGGAAAGTAAAAGCTGAAAATAATTTAGTACAAATTTTTCTTTACCATTAAAGTATCTTTTAAAGATAATTCTGCTTCAGAAACCAAAAATAAAGACAACTTTTGAGCCCATCTCTCAAGTTTATTAGGCCAAATTGATTTAGCCTACAATGCCTGTAATATCTTCGTTAAAGCTTCCCATATTTATGTGTTAAGGCAATAATTTCTGATATTTTAATGAAATGCTTTTCCACATGTGTATGTGTGCCATTTAAATCACTGCTGAAATACTCAAAGAGGAAATAAAGCCTTAACTCATATTCTACAAATACACATAACTGTAACTTAAAAGTTACATCTGATTGTGCCATATATCGACTCACTATTAAATGAAACATCATTTAAATCAATTTCCATTATAAAGTTAGAGGCTTTTTTTTTTCAAAAAATTGAGGATAAAAGAGGCCCTGCTGTTTAAATAAAATCATACATGAGAAAGTACCCCACAGTTCTTCAAGAGTACTTTCAAATAAGAAAAAAATAATATTTTTGAATGAAATTAACCATCATATATAAATTATCACAGTCTAGTTGACATAATTTGTGACTTTGGAGTTAGAATCACCTTATAGGTCCCCATCATACTTTAACAACTGAATAATCTTTCTGGGCCCCAAACTGAGTGCCTTTAAATTATGTGCAACTCCATGATAAATAGAATATTATCAAGGTATCAATGCCCCCAAACTCACAATGCATGAGCAGCACTTAGGTTATAAATGGCAATGAAAACACAGTAGAGTTATTTCTTCCACTTAGCATTTTTCTAATAAGGTTTGTTAAACACATAGCAACACATAAGGTGTTGGCTTGTTTTCTTTTTTTTACCTAATTAAATTGTCATTGTGACTTTATATGTACCAAAATTGTATTCTAATCCTTCTTCTTGCAAGAGAGTCATAGGTACGATCATAAGAACTCTAACATTTTTTTTGTTTGTTTTTCAAACAAGCTTAGACCTCCACTAGGATACATAGGGTTTTGCTTGTGTGTTGGTTTTTATAACCAGTTCTCCCCTGCTAGTGATTAAGGATTTTGTAGATCACATTTGGTATTTGAAGGATATCATACTGCATATTTTGTTTTCAACCTGATGGTTAGTTGGTTTAGAGACTCCAGCATTTATTTTCTGCCCACTGTAAAAGATGGTTGTACCAAAGCTGTAATGATGGCAAGGACCTGCCAGAGGTTAGCATGAGGTATAAAGAGAGACAGAAACAGGAGAGTGCTGGGCAATAGTATACGATGGTGACACCATGGCATGCCCAAACTAGCACTTTTTATTAGTGTTAATTTATCAGTATTCCTGCATCCTTTCAAAAAATTTTTTCTTATTACTATAGCTATCACTCTTCTATCAGTTAATCAGCTTCCCCAAACAGGAGACTCTGAGACACTCTCTATTACAAGAGCAATACTATGTCTATTTATACAGAAAAAAAAAAATTAAGTAAACGTGGGGTACATGTGTCCGTTTTACAATTAATTTCATAAAGAAGTCACCATTTTAACTCAACCATATTAAAATATTCATGTGTTTCTTTATTCCTTGGTAGGTTCTATAAAAGTGGTTTTGTTATCCCTAGATCTGACACCTTCAATAGCTGGCAGTTACAGTCAGGCATGGACCCAAACTTCTAAACAGTTGTGAACTTACTGATCTATACCTTTACCCTGCTCTAAAACTGTAGATAATAATTTTCCATGCATGTATATCCTCTATAATTTAAACGTGAATTTTAATAAAATATTGGTATGTAAGTAGAGTTTTTCAATAAATAAAAAAGGTGTTTTATTGTTTATTCACTAAACTATTGCCCCTGAAAGTAGCTATTTGTTATTTCTGCTCATTATCAAATATCGACACTTTCCAGTTGAGACGGTGTACTTTAGCTGGTGTCATTATAGATGCATACTTTTTGGCTGGTATTCTTATTGCACTTTTAAATCATGACATTGTTTTCTTTGCAGTATGTGTGTTTTTCATATTATCAGGAAAATTCATGAGATATTCTTTTGTGACCCTATTGATAATCAAGAAAGAATTATTTTTTCCTTAGTAGGAATAAAAATATGATCTGAATATATTCACAGTTTCTCACAAAAGTCTGGGCCTAATAACAAGGCTTATATAACAAGGGTTACAGAAAAAATCTTTTATATGATTTCATACATACTACCTTTACTCACGTCTCTGTATAGTCAGTCAGTACCTGGCTCATGGCAACAATCTAATATATCTAAAAATCAATAAATGGTTTTAATTCATTGTTATATCAAATGTGTGCAAACATACAAATATAAGATTTAGGTACCCGAAGCACTTTGACCAGCTAGTCAGGATTCAGATCTAGGTCTTTTGCTCTGTCCAATTCATTGTTGCTTTAAATTTCCACCCCTATTACCTTAAAGTGGAGAAATACCAGATTTATAAAACCAATTAATGTAATCTAATATAGATCCATTCAACATTTAATGAATAAATAGAACACATTCTATAACACTAAATTTATAGAAAACTTTTATATAAATTCTCTGTTGAATGATTTTTTTTTTTCTCCAGGAAAGATCTCTTTCATGGTGTAATTTGAACGTGGTAAAGGAAAAACTTATCGAGTAAGAATTTATCTTTCATAGCTTTCAAAGTGTTTCTATCACGTCTTTAGTTGCTTACATATTTCGAAGCCTATTGATACAGAGAATTGGACATGGTGGTTCTGTTATATAAACTTCAGTCAGAGCAGCCTGCCCTGATCCCTTTTTCTCTCATAGTTTGCTACATTTGAAAGCATATGAATACACAGTATTATAAGAGAATGGTTATTCACAAATCTTGGAAATAATCTGGTATGCTTCCGTTACCTCCCAGTGATTAAGAAGAACAAAGTAAGAATGACGAGGAGAGTAAATCCCCCAACAGCTGCGGTGGCTATCACGAGAATCTGTCCCTGTTCAGCCGCCATGTCAGAAGCTGAAACACAAATACAATATTAAAATTTCCCTGGGTGACATTTCACTAACAAAATTATTTTACAAGTTGGTATATGCTTGAAAATATGGTGATGGAGGCCAAAAATGTCCACCATATTTGCCTTTATTTGGCACACAGGATGCAAACCAAAATAAGGGCTGAAGATGGAGGTCATAACCCACAACATAGCCCTTTTCTTTTCTTTTCTTTTCTTTTCTTTTCTTTTCTTTTCTTTCTTTTCCTTTCCTTTTCTTTTCTGTTTTTGTTTTTACAAAAGTACCAATAAAAGTAGATGGATTCTTAGTATCCCACATTCTAAGATTAAGTATTTGTTGCAAATTTAAATCAGCAAATAGACTTAAAGGATTTTGTTTATATTATTGCTAATTTATTTCCTTAAACACTTGAATCAAGAGACCAGGCTTATGCACTGTTTTGATGTCTCTTTCAACAAAGTGGAAAGACTATTGCATAATTCGTTTTAAGAATGACCTTTTTTATATTTCATAGAGATTAATTCAAAAATTAAAGTTAGGAACTTACACTTTATAGGACAAGGATATACATAGGAAGTTCTTAGATGTTTAGCAGTAATTTTAAAAATGACATTTAAAAGCTTCCTTTTTTGAAGAAAAAACTAGATAACATATGGTAACAACATATTTCTTTCATTGACAAAACTATAAAAATTACAGGGGATGCATGTTTTACTACTGCTTAGGCAATCTTCTAAAATACATTACTTCAATTAATTCATTAGCACTTCTCATTCTATGTATTACTGAAGTTTTTTAATTTTTTAATTTTTTAAAAAATTTTAGTATATGTGCTGCCGAAGCAAGCACAATTTATTTTTTTTATTTTAGAGAGAGAAGGGCATGAGCAGGAGAAGGGCATGGGAAAGAGAGAGAGAATCCCAAGCAGGACTCAATCCCATGACCCTAGGATCATGACCTGAGCTGAAATCAAGAGTTGGATGCTCAACCAACTGAGCCACCCAGGCACCCCTGTATTATTGAAGTTTTAATAAGAAATACTTTTTATTGAATGGGATATGAACAATTGCTTCATAATAGAAGTAAAAAACTGAAGCCCACAGAAGGTAAAGAACTTGCCTGACTTCACACATGACCATCTCCAGAATTCAAGGTTAAGTTTTATGTTTCATTTCCCCTTCCTATGCTATAACTTTAAGTAATAATTCAGTAATTTGGCAATACTCTAAAATATTGAATCAAACAGTCCCTTTAATATCCTTTCACTTGAATAAAGCTTTATTTTTATTACTATAAAAATATATTAATCAAATAATTTATATGTAGAAAATTGTATCAAATAATATAACTGAAAAACATGAGGCATCTGGGTGGCTCAGCTGTTAAGCCTCCAACGCTTTTTTTTTTGTAATTTTTTTTAACATTTATTTATTTTTGAGAGACAGAGTGAGACAGGGCATGAGTGGGGGAGGGCTGGAGAGAGGTGGGGACACAGAATCTGAAGCAGCCTCCAGGCTCTGAGGTGTCAGCACAGAGCCCTGCATGGGTCTTGAACTCATGGACCGTGAGATCATGACTTTAGCCGAAGTCAGATGCTTGACCAACTTAGCCACCAAGGCGCCCCAAACCTCTGACACTTGGTTTTGGCTCAGGTCATGATCTCACGGTTCGTGAGTTTTACTGCCCTGTCAGCACAGAGCCTGCTTGGGATTCTCTCTTTCTCCTTCTCTCTGCTTTTCCACTGCACATGTTTTCATTCTGTCTCAAAACAAATAAATAAACTTGAAAAAAGGAATATAACTGAAAAACAAACCATTTAATTCTCTACCATAATAATTCATTAAACTTGAGTACTTTAAGACTTTCACAGAAATAGTTCTTCTTCTGGGAATCAAGTAGGCAATATACACTATGTGCAAATTTATATCCAGAGTAATAACTTCCTCATAAAAATGACATATCTACTAGGGAATTTTTGAGCATTAAAAGCTATTGTTAAGTAAGAAACCAGTCACAACATTTAAGAGGCTTTTTAAGAAATCTAAATGTAAATAAAAACAATTGTCATTTATGTTCAGTTTTCAGTAAGAAATTTATTAAACCTTGGAATTAGATTTTATTCACTATGATTTAATTAAGATATTTTCAGGCATCTATTTCTTTCAGCTCATAATCTGTGCAGAAACAGGTAAAGGGTTGCATCTTATCCAATAAATAATGTGCTGAAGATTTTTTATTAGGTCCTCACTGAATTTCCTAATCTTCAAAATAACACTGATATTGCAGGAATTAATGAGCGCTCTAAAATGTCACATTTCACATGAAAATTATTGAATAACAAATTATAAGGGATAGATGTTACAGAAAACATAAAATAACATTAATTTCTGACAATACAGAAGATGCCATTTAAAAAGAAAACATTTACTTAGCAACTGCTGTATTTGTAAAATATATAATATAGTTCAAGAGTTTTAAATCTGGAGCCTGTACTTTCACAGTAGCCAGGTAGCAAGTAATTTACTTAGACCATATATTCAAAGTTCAGACAGGGAAGATTATGTAATTGGACCTTTAGAGACTCAGATTACTTTGTTATAGAACACTGTGTTGTTTACCTCAATCGCTTAGCAAACTGCTATTTTTACTAATATACCTTCATTTTCACACTTATGATTATATATTTATGAACTTTACTTCAATTAAAATTTTAATTGGATATCAGAATAGGCAGTTGTGTTACTTTGAAAAATGCATATGCCTGTATAATTGTTTCTTAAACTTCTGTGCTAGAAATCCTAAACACTCTTCTTTGGAGATTGGCATACAGTTGACCCTTGAACACTCAAGTTTTAACTGCATGGCTCCACTTACACGTAAATGTTTTTTGATAAATACAGTATAATACTGTGAGTGTATCTTCTATTATGATTTTCTTAACATTTTCTTTTCTCTAGCTTACTTTACTGTAACAATATAGTATACAATACATATAACATACAAATATGTGTTAATTGTTTTTGTTATTGGTAAGGCTTCTAGTCAACAGTAGGCTATTAGAAGTTGAGTTTTGGGGAGTCGAAAGTTATGTGTAGACTTTGGACTGGATGGGGCAAGGGGGTTATTGGTATCCCTAACCTTTGCATTGTTTAAGGTTCAATTGTATATAAATATATAAGTTATTTGAAATAAGAGTGTATGATGTCATGCACCGTTATATACTGGGAGTAAAGTGCCATGGATTATGGGGCTGGGATGATTATGAAAACATTAGGAATATCATCATCAACAACAGTCACTATCTATTTCATACTAAATTAGCTTCTAGCACAATGTTTAGTGCTTCAAATTCATTACAAATTTATCTGCACAATAGTCTTAATAGGTAGGTACTACTATTATTCCTAGTATAGGTGGTTCTATTACTTGCTAAGGTCACACTTCTTGTACACAGGAAAGCTAGCAATCCAATCCCGATTTGTCAGGCTCCAGGCCCATGCTATTGCCAGTATTTTACACTACCATTTTCGCTAATAGAACAAATGGCTAGATCCAGCTCTTTTGTGGGTCCTAGAACAATCATTAGCCTTGCCTGACTTTGGCTTCATGTCTGTAAAATGAGAATTTTGAATTAAATGTTTTTTTTCACAATCTTTCAAAGTTATTTTACTATAGTACTATGTTATCCATAAAAGCTACAAATATTGGGAAGAGCAAGATTTGCCATATGGAAGTAAGAGGAACACTCAGGACCTGTGTTGCTCCTCTTGGTCCTGACAGGGATAATTTCTGCCTTATTATATCAGTGTTGGCCAATCACAGAGCTGACTCTATCTCAGGATGAAGTCTATAGTCTTTAACTTTGCTCACATGGCTCTCTACAAATGACTCTAAATGTATATCCCCAGATTAATCTCTTATCGTTCTCTATGTTGAATTCATTCCAGTTCCTTAAAATGTGCCAAGCTTTCTTTCATGGCCAATTCCTATTTAATCCTCCTATGTGAACATCACATCATTTGGGAAGCTTTTTATGCTTGTTTAGATTTAATTAGGACCCCAGACTTCTGTTCCCATAGCTCTTGGACTACTTCTACCAATACATTTCTATCATGCTTTACTGAAATCACTTTTTTTGTATCCTGTCTTTTCAATTAGACTACGAATTATATGAGGGGAGGGGCTTTATTCACTATAGTATCTGTAGTAATTTGAATGATGACATCCCCTCCACTCTCTCCCTGCCCCTACAAAAAAAAAAAAGTATTTGCAAGTACAAGTAAGTTCCTTAACTTACTACTCATCCTGTATTAGCTGGGTGGGCCCAAATCCAATGACAAGTGTCCTTATAAGAGACAAAATAGAAGACAAAGTAGAGAAGTCCATGTGAAGACAGAGGCAGAGATTAGAGTTATAGAGCCACATGCCAAGGAATACCTGGAGCCACCAGACCTAGAACAGGCAAGGAAGGATTCTCTCCTAGAGCCTTAGGAGAGAGTATGCTTTTGGTCTCCGTAACTATGAGAGAATAAATTTCTGTTGTGTGTGTCATCTGCTATAGTAGCTCTCTGAAACTCATACAGTATTCAACCTATAGGACCTGATACAGGTCCTATTTATTGAGTAGTAGTAGCTCAATAAATATTTGTTTGAGTAAATGGATTGAATTGTCATTTGCATTAGGTGATTCTGGTTAAAAAAAAAAAAAAGCCAGATTGACCTAGGGTTATCCATATCCTCACCTTCCACTTCATATGTAAAGATTTACCCTGAAGGTAGTTATACGTATGTGAAATAAGTCTACCCAACATAATTTTAATCAGAAGATGCAATTATTCTGTATGATTGAAGATAATGCTTTCCAGAAGGCAGGAGGTGCTAGAAAGTACAGGCTTCTACATTTAATCAAGTTAAGTTGATTAAACTTAGAAATGTGAATATAAGTTTAAGAATGCATTAGCTCATTCAACAAATGTTTATTGAGAACATCCTACATGGCAGACA